CACACGGACTCCAAGAAAGGGGCTTAAATTGCCTTTATTGATTTGTCAGCCTCTAATAGATCATTTTTCACTGAGCAAAGGGCAGAACCCTTAGAGAAAGTTCTTTCTCTTCCTACAACCCTCATCATGGGTCTTGTCTCAGTGGAAGGGTATCTGTGGGGTTAATGACGTGTTGGAGAGAATTAAAATGCAGACATCAATTTTTCCAAAGATATAGCTGAGAGAGGTCCTCTGGGGCCTGTTGCCACCTCTGACAGATCCAAACTGGATTTCTTGACCCCAAAGTTATGCATAGAGAAATAACCTTCAGGATTCTAATTTCCTTCCACCCCGGGTTTTCTAAGATGAGCTTGCTGACTTTACATTCAGTCCTCTGGAGCGGCTCCTCCTCTTAGACACCTTGGAAAAGGAAAAAGCATAGCATGGCTGTGCTATGGAATCCCATGTGAGAGGGCAGCCAGACAACAGTTCTCTAGCATCAATACTTAGCCAACATTCTACATTCAATAAGCACTTAAAAGTTTCCTTAAAAACTGACTGTGTGACAGGCACCTCGCTAGATCCTTTGCAAAAGGGAAGTCCTCAAGCTCAAAACACTTATAGAGACACAGATAAAAATAACGGGCCGGGTGCGGTGGCTCATGCGTGTAATCCCAGCACTTTGGGAGGCCGAGGCAGGCAGATCACAAGGTCAGGAGATCGAGACCATCCTGGCTAACACGGTGAAACTCCATCTCTACCAAAAATACAAATAATTAGCTGGGTGTGGTGGCACATGCCTGTAGTCCCAGCTACTCGGGAGGCCTAGGCAGGAGAATTGCTTGAATTCGGGAGGTGGAGTTTGCCGTGAGCAGAGATCGCGCCACTGCACTCCAGCCTGGGCGACAGAGCGAGACTCCATCTCCAAAAAATGATAAAATAAAATAAAATAAGCATAATGAACATACAACACAATGTAGTAAGTTCTACAACGGAGCTTGTACAATATATACAAAGGACTCTGAGGCACTGGGAGGGCTGGAATGGAGCAGAAGTCAGACTTAGTCTTCCCCTCTGCCTAGAATAGGCTCACATTATAGACAGAATGAGGATGGCATTTGTAGTCCACATAGCCTAGCACTTAACTAGGTACTGCTTTCTGCTATTCAATTTAGCTGTGTGCATACCAGATGTATCTCCCTCATCTAGATTGTAAGCACCATGAGGAGGGCAATCCTGTCTTATGTTTGGGAAATTCTTCACAGCACCCTGCCAGATGCTAATCCCACTGGAAGTCCTCAAAAGGATACTTGGTGGATGATTCAATCCAGTGGATCATACAGCTATGAGGAATATCTGGCCATCTACCAAATCCAGGCATCTGTGAGGACTTGGAAGGAGTCTGATGGGAGTAGCAGGTGAAACTCTCTGGGTCAGAGGCAATGACATAACCCCGATATCCCTTTAACACAACATTATTTCAAACATCCTTACAGTAAAAATACTTTTGTAGCCTCTAGGATATCCATATCCAAGATTCAGTCATTTTTTCTTGCAACTTTGTTACAAAAACTTCCAACACAATGAAATTATTTAGACAGTTTCTTGGAATTCACTGTTCACTTTAACAGAATCAAACCTAGGGTTGAAATGGACACAAACCTCATGGGTTATAGATGGGAATATTTTTCAGGGTCTGTGGCATAGACAATCTGTTTAGTGAGGAAATGCAGGTATTATAGGAGAAAGGGGAAGAAGGAAGGAAAGATGAAAAGGGGAAAGAATAGGGAGGAAGGGGAGGGATATGAGATGAGTGGAGATAAGAGTGGTTATTTGCAAAGATTTCCCATTTGTCTTCACTTTCTTCAGATCTGGCTTTTTTTTTTTTTTTTTTTTTTTTTTTTTTTTTTTTTTTTTTTTTTGTCAGGGTGACTTGGCTTAGCCTAATGGGTTTGTTCTGCTATCGTTTTTATTGTTTACATCAATGGCTCACAGTTTTGGCCACCAGCCAGGTGGGACCTTGGAAAGGCAGAGGACCCAAGGGTGCAAAGCCAGAGGATTTCTGGGTGTAGGAGTTCAGAGAATGGATCACTTTAGAAACTGGGAGTGTGAGGCCAGGACTCCATTCCTTCATATCTGGCCATAGAAGGTTATGACTGGGTTTCCAAAGACTGGAAAGTCCTTGGCCTTGGGTACCAAGGACCTGCCCAGGGCATTGTTGGGTTATGACTACTACTCTAATTCAGAGATGGTGGCTGAGCAAGCCTGTCAAAGATGAAAATGATGTTGAACTCAGGGCCAGCAGTGTGGAACAGCCACATGCTGCTGGGTGTGGGTGTGTGGAGACAGCTGGGTGCAAATTCACAGCCAGAGAAAATTCTTGGGGATTTTCAGCTGTCTTTATTTTCCCTCCAACAATAAATAGGGAGAACCCCAGACAGTAGTAAAAATAGCTCACACTCTCCTTCAAACCTGTCTGGCTTGAGTTTTTGGAAGGCCTGGGGGAAAAGTCACATTCGAAAGTGGAATTTATTTTGGTGATGATGACAGGAAGTTCAGCACCGGGGACAGAAGGCAGCTTTCCAGAATAAAAGCCCCCTTCATCATACTATTTTTTAAAATTCCTTCCCACTGCCCCTCCAGAATAAACTGTTCCTTGATACTTTTATTACATTAATGTAATAAAAGTACACCAAAACAAATGCTTTTTTTTTTTTTTTTTTTTTTTGAGACAGAGTCTCAGTCTATCACCAGGTAGAGTGCTGTGGCACAATCTTGGCTCACTGCAGTGTTCGCCTCCCAGGCTCGAGAATTCTCCTGCCTCAGCCTCCCAAGTAGCTGGGATTACAAGCACCTGCTACCACGCCTGGCTAATTTTTGTATTTTTAGTAGAGGCAGGATATTGCCATGTTGGCCAGGCTGGTCTCAAACTCTTGGCCTCAAGTGATCCCCCAGCCTCAGCCTCCCAAATTGCAGGGATTACAGGTGTGAGCCACCACGGCCAGCCAGAACGAAAGCTTGTTAACGGGGAGCAGGTTTCCTGAGAAGTTTTAATGTGGTGGGGTGAGCATATGTCTCAGTCCCGGCCCTGCCACCTACCGGTGGTGGGAATCCAGCACAGGGTTGAAACACCTCACCTGACAGGCAGTTTCCTCATCTCTAATTCAGGATCGACCCATCGGCCACGCCAACCTCAATGGGTTGTTATGGAGATAAAATCAGAAGGTGTCTCTGAAATTGCTTTGTAAACTGTGAAGTTGCATCCACATGTAAAGTGTTGGTATTAAGGAGCTGAATAAAGCCTCCATGGCAAAGAAAACTGTCAGTGAGAAGTAGAAATACTCCCCCTCACAGCGACGCCACAGGGGTGAGAGCAAAAGAACAGCTGCTCAGCACCCGAGCTTGTCGGGAGAAAACACGGTGTCATCAGAATAACCGCATAAATAGAACGCTCTTGGAGTCGTGCACCACCTGTTCCCACAGATACCATCAGCCAGCCTTCACCACCACCCACCTACTCCCGGAGGGCTGAGAGGGCAGAAGAGAGGACCCCGTTTTACAGAGAGGTAAACTGAGGCCCAGGAGGGAAAAGTGGTCACAGTGTGACCATGGACTTGCAGAGTCCCAAACTCATCCATTCCAGCACCAAACCCCACCTCCCTCATGATCCTCCTGACCAGTGCAGACCTGCTGCCAGTCAACTGCCAGCCCCTAAAGAGATCATTGGCCTGAGTTCTGAAACAGGTCACCTCCCCAGCCGACCTGCTGTGAGCCACCCCTCCTAACCAACAGAGGTACTCAGCCCGCAGTCTGCTCGCTCTGAGGACCTGACCTCTTGTCTTAGGAGGGAGATGGACTGATGGGTAACACCTGCTTACCCCTCGGCAGGGGTGAGAGTCTTTCAGGCAGAACCAGTTTGGCCTATCTCTAACCCGCTAGTTGTTCGGAACCAGTGAACGCAGAATTGAAAACGGAGTTCTAAATCCCCTCACTCTTGAGGGGTCTTGGAAAATGCCGCTGCCAGGAGCTGGTATAAATCAGAGTGTTCTGAATGAATTAGGGACCCCATATTCTTCCCTCAGCCCCGGCAAACCTCTTGGAGACAGGCCCTGGGTGAGAGCATTAATAAATCACAGCACAGCATAGCGGGTCGCTGGGCCGTTGGCACACTGTGGCTTTCCCCGGAGATGTGAGCGGCCGTGCAGAGCCTGTCAGAACTGGGGCTCTGAAGCCAGCCTGAACTTCTCACCCTGCCCTCAGCTGTGTCACCACGCTGCTGCCCTCGCCAGTGCCTCTTCTCCGCGGTGGCCAGTGATGCATAGTATTCATTCAGATGTAGCTCCTGCTTAGAATTCCTGATCAGCCCAGACTGCCCAGCAAGGGCCACCTGAGTTTTACTGGAACTCTGCTGCACTCTGTAGTTTCCTCTTGATCAGGGCTGCTTTCATGCTATGAGGGCAGAGTTGAGTAGTTGAGACAGAGACCGCGTGGCCTGCAAAGCCTAAAATATTTACTGCCTGGGCCTTTACAGAAAAAGTGTGCCATTCCTGCATTACGTACTTACGTTATTTAATTCTAACACTTACACTGTGAACTGGGTATGAGGACTCCTCTTAGAGGGGGAGAATCTGTCCAAAGATGGACAACTGGTAAGAGGCAGAGCCCTTGCTCAACCCAAGGTGTTTCCACTTCAAAGTCCAGATATACAATTCTCTCCCTCTGGGGCATGTCCAGTCAACAGGCAGGACACAGGTCAGCACTACAGAAAAGTAGCGCTCATCTTTCTTGAATGGGAGAACCAGCTTTGAAACCATCTTTTTGAATAAGGGAAGCTTTAGGCCTATGTCATCCCCAGCCTTTCCCTCAGGTCCCAGATGGCAAGAAGCTGCTCTGAAGACCTACCAGGCAGGAGTCACAGCTTGTGAATAAACCTGAAACCCAGAAGAGTCAGTTAGGCTGGAGCAGCCCCTGGCCAGGCCCTGCAGAGTTACCATGACGACAGAGCCATTTCCATCACAAACCCTGCAACAGGCTTCCAGAAGGTGATTCATGGTTGACCTCTGGGGGCTGGGAACTCTCCAGGGGAGTATTGTTTCTAGTCTGGTGCAAAACTTGGACCATCTACTTCTCTGCTGTCCGGTGGAGGTGAATATTGTAGTTGAGGATGCAGAGATAAAGCACCCCATCCCCTGACCTCCTAAATCCTGAAGTCGGCCCAGGAAGCCCCCTGTGAAAACCATGCTCCAGCCTTGAGCAGAGGCAGCCTAATCCAAGAAACTCAAGGGCTGACAAAAGAAAACAAGGGAAGCCAAGGGAATGAATGAAAGACTATGTAAGCTGGTTCATTCTTGCTGGATAAATGGCACCCACTCACCAAAGGGAAAAGGTACAAAAAAGGATTCAGCGAGGCAAGAAGCAGGTAGTAAAAAAAGGCGGGGGAATCCTACCTCCTTTGAGTCCAGAGAAAAGCCTTTTCTACAAACTCAAGAAGAGGGGGCGGAGAAGGACGGGCCGCCTGCCAAAGCAGTGACCCATGTTGATTGTGAATTTCAACGGTAGTGACTTGAGGAGGCTCAGATGTCCCACGTCCCCTTGCCCATTGCCAGTGGGTGGTCACCGACTGCCTGCCAAGTGGGGTGACCTGGGTTCTGCACCCCAACCTTGGGATGTCTGTTGTAGAGCCATTTGGGGCTCATTCATTGACAGTTTTTCTCTCGGCTGACATTTGGGTGGCTCTGCCTGCCTAGTCATTGTTTTTGTTTGGCCATTTTCGCTGTGGATGAGTCACTCCCCCTCGAACCCTGCGGGAAGTGGTCAGGCGCTCTCTGTGTTGGTACCAGAATCCCAGCAGCTGGTTGTATCAGTTTCATTCTTTTCGCTGAGATAGTGTAACTCAGGGGTTGAAATGGCGAGCTTGTGTGAGAGAGGAAAGAGAAGGCATCTCCCCACTTGGAGGCTGAGCGCACTGTTTTGAAATGCAGCTCAGGAAGAGGCTCCCAGCCCTCACTCTGTCCTCTTCTGCTTTTGGAAAGGTAGAACCAGGAAATCGTATCCCCGACGGCACCCCCTAACACCATCAGAACGTCCCACAGCTGCACCAAGACCCAAAATACTCCATGAAAAAATGTCATTGTGGATGAGGACCTCAGTTCACAGACCCATTTCTCCAAAATATATATATATATATAAAAGCTCCATTTTCTATAACTCAAATGATTTTTGGTTTCAAGCTCCGATTCTGTGGCAGGAAATTAATCTTAGTTAATTTCAGGTCTCCCATTTTTCACTTAACAGGAAGTTGCATCCAATTTAGGGAGGGGCTACCTGGTGCCCTTGCATGAAGTGGGGGGCAGGGGTGCGATCCCATCCTCGGTGACATCTCACTGGCATCCACCCACACGTCCTTGTCCTATCTGGGCTGTGGTCCTCTGGCTACCTGGTCACTGCTGTGTCCTCTTTCCATCACAGAGCCTTTCCAGGTTTCTGGGCTTTTCTGGGCCACATGCCCACAGCTCTCAGCTGCACACTATATGTTCTGCTTTGTGGAGACCTTGTGAGGCTGCGGTCCATACTCCTGGATACTCCTTTCTGGGAGCACTCACCAGACACTACCTTTCCCGTTTCCTTGACTCTTCTTCCTTGCTAAGCGCATCTAGATGCGCCTGGATTCCATGTATCTAGATATGTCTTGTTCCAAATCTTCTGATTTTGTCCTGGGTTCTCTCTGACCTGCTTTGACTGCTGCACTTTTGAAATTCAAATCACAAGAACTGACTTCTGGATTTATCATGACTCTTTGACTGCCGCCTCTGACCCGGGACATGGGGGGATCCCACCACCTCCTAACTCTGTGGAAGTCCAACGTCACTCTGATTTCAAGTTCTCAGGTGGCTTGTGTCCTCATGGTCACATCTGGTTCAAAGCAGGGTTTTCTCTGCATTAATCCAGGCTATGGCTGCTTGCTGCCCACTCCTACTGTCCCCCTCTTACAACACATCAACCCGGGTTCCAAATTCAGCCCCTTTATAGGATTTACAAATGCACTCTCCACACTATGCTTCTATGTGTGTGTTAGATTTTACTGAAAGCAGGGTAGGGATGAAGAAGGATGTTACTGAGCAGCAAACCCCCAACAAATATTCAAAAAGAGTGTCAGATCCGTGTGAAAGCCCGCTCGGCCTGGATCTGCCTCCAGAGGACTGGCAGGGCAGCCATTGCTCTGCTCTTGCCTCTGCAGCCCCAGACCCTATTGCTGCAACTGCTGACTCCTCCTCCCCATCCCACCCACCTTGGCCTTCTGGATTGTCTCCAGGAACTCAAACCCCTCTCACTGTCACAGGTGTTCCGTCCCGATCCTGTTCCTAAGTCAGCCCCTGGTCACCTCTCCACCTCCTACCCACGCTGCAGTAGAACCAGACGGGCTGCTTGTGTGTAGGACCTACTTTTCTCAGAAGGAAATTAGGCTTATAAAGAACAATTGCTTCTTTTTCTTTTCTTTTTTTTTTTTGCAAAATGAACCAACGTAAAATACCCGTTTGGTATTGCTATTAGAAACAGGGAGGGAGGAAACATCTGTGATAGCCTCCACCCGTTGGAGATTGGTAGGAAAAAAAAAATGCCTAAAGCTGCAATGGCTTCATTATCTAAGTGTGGGTTCTCTTTAAGGATGGCCTGCAGCACAGTTTCAATCTCAGTCTGACTTTCTCTGCCATTTAGTGTATGCCTGGTGTGTCTTCAGGGAATATAAATTAATATCAATATTAGATTGAGTAGCAAATGATTAGGAAGGAAAATAAATAATGTATGGCAAAACTAAATTTGGGGGCCAGGCGTGGTGGCTCATGCCTGTAGTCCTAACACTTTGGAAGGCCGAGGCAAGCAGATTGCCTGAGTTCAGGAGTTCGAGACCACCCCGGGCAACATGGTGAGACCCCATCTCTACTAAAAATACAAAAATTAGCCGGGCGAGGTGGCGGGCACCTGGAGTCCCAGCTACTCGGGAGGCTGAGGCAGGAGGATGGTGTGAACCCGGGAGGCAGAGCTTGCAGTGAGCCGAGATCATACCACTGCACTCCAACCTGGGCAACAGAGCGAGGCTCCATCTCCAAAAAAAAAAAACACTAAATGTGAGGCTTTCCAAATAATCCACAGGAAAAGAAAGCCTTTCTATTTACAATGGAGAAGGGACTATCTTTATCCAAAGGTGCCCCTTTCTGAAAATGAGGCAGCACTGAGCATCAGACACACCAGGGTTTCCCCTGCCCCTCGCCCCTCCTGTACTGCAGCCTCCCTCCCCAGGGCCCTTGTCTTGCCCAGAGCTCCCCACACAGCCTTTCCCATCCCCTGGCCTGTGTGGAACCTTACCTGTTCAGCATTCCCCTCTCTCTCCCCAGGGCCCTGTTCTCAGCTGGGAAGCTGATAAACCGCACTAAAGTCATAATGGATGTAATAAGTTAATGTGTTACCCTTCTCTGGTAACATTTGCATTTTGACAGGGTCTTTCTGAAGAGAAATTGTTCTTAACAACACAATGGCTGGAACTGGGAGCACTTCAGCACCTGTGTCTGGTGGGCCTATGGAAATAGATTTGTTGCAAGAGGGGTTTTGATCCCTCAAATCCCACTGTTCAGAGAACAATAAGAAGAGCCTCCTGAGGGGGCTACAGAGCCAAGGCCCTGAGACACAGGCCTAGGATGAGTAAGTCACCCCCACCTTAGAGAAAAGGAAAAGACAAAGGGCACAAATAGAAAGGGGACTGGGGTGGAGGAAACCCCTGTGGGAGAGAACTGACATCTCTGGACCGCAAAAGTGTCCGCCCCTGCAAATAGGAGACTGACAAAGGCTTCGTAGCAGAGACTGCAATGGGGTAACGTCACATGAAACAGGTGTTTCCACAGGGCTGACTGCCAGCCTTGGCGGGATCGAGGGGGTCAGGGAAGCAGTGGGTGAGGTGTAGAGATGTGCTCCAGAATGACAGAGTTGTCGGGGGTCTGGAGAAGCTACGCAACAACTGGCCCACCTCTGAGCTTCAACGGCCTCCTGATGGCCACAGGTGTTCCTCAGGGAGGGCAGGTGCAGCCTGGCCACATCGCAGGGTCATTAGCACCAGCTGTTTTAACCTACCCTCAAGTGGGCCACACTGCCTTCTGCTTCAGGGCTGGGCTGGCCAGAAATGGGGGCTTCCTGTAAGGATGCTACATCTTGGACTCTGCCAACCTCCTAGGACCTACCATCTCACTCCTCAGTAATAGTCCCAGTTACGGAGAAGCTCTCTTCCTACTTTTCGTCGTGGCTCTGCCTCTCGCTCCCAGGGAGAACTCAGGCTCCTACAGCTCAGGCTCAACACTGCTTCACCCCAGGCCTTCAATCCCATGAACTCCATTTTCTAAGGGATTAAAAATGAGCAGCTGCCCACAGCAAAGTGGACACTGCTGCCCAGCACTTGGCTGGTATACATGGAGCACAGGCCTGCTTGTGTCTCAAAATAAATTCCACTTCTATGAAATAATCCTGAGAGCTGGTGGCTGGTGGTTGGCAAGTACTGCAGCGAGCTGGCCCGCAGCAGAGGAGGCAGGACCAGCCAGGCTGCCACTGCAGGACTGCCCTGCACCCATGGCTCCTGGAGGCCTGAGCCCTACAGGCAGGAGGCTCAGCACCATGCGATTCTGACACCTCTCCCAGAGCCCAAGTCACCCAGGTTCACTGTATTCCCCACACCAACCTTGGGAGACTCAGTACAAGTACATCAACCCAGGCCGTACGTGGTGGCTCACGCCTGTAATCCCAGCACTTTGGGAGGCCGAGGCTGGCGGATCATGAGGTCATGAGATTGAGAGCATCCTGGCTAATACAGTGAAACCCCGTCTCTACTAAAAATACAAAAAATTAGCCGGGCGTGGTGGTGGGCGCCTGTAGTCCCAGCTACTCGGGAGGCTGAGGCAGGAGAATGGCGTGAACCTGGGAGGCAGAGCTTGCAGTGAGCCGAGACTGCGCCACTGCACTCCAGTCTGGGCAACAGAGCGAGACTCTGTCTCAAAAAAAACAACAACAAAAAAACACAAGTAGATCAACCCATCTCCTCTCAGCATTTTCAGGGAAATGTGGTTCAGAGTCCAACGCTGAATCTTGTGATGAGGAAACCTCGCTGAAAGCTGATCTTTACTGTGGGAGTCCTGATTCAATATCCTATATACATAAAAAATACACATACAGGGCAGCAAGGTTCTAGTCTTCCCCTCTGCCATCTTGATCTGTGAGAGTCTCCTTGGAAAAGTCTATGTGTCTCCTACAGTGCCAAGCAGGGGAGGAATCAGAATTGGTCCAGGTGGCAGCATCTTTTTATGATATGATATAAACTCAACAAATTAGGTATAGAAGGAATGTACCTCATCACAATAAAGGCCATATATGACAAGCCCACAGGTGACATCACACTTAACATTGAAAAGTTGAAAGCCTTTTCTTGAAGATTAGGAACAAGACAATGATGCCCACCCTTGCCGTTTCTATTCAACATAGTACTGGCAGTCCTAGCCAGAGCAATTAGGCAAGGAAAATAAATAAAAAGCATCTAAATTGGAAAGGAAGAAAAAGAAATAAAAGCATCCAAACTGTCTGTGTGTAGATGATATAATCATATATAGAAAACCCTAAAGACTCCACCAAACCTATTAGAACTAATGATAGATTCAATAAAGTTGCAGAATCTGCAAAATCAACATACAAAATGAGTAGCACTTCTAGAAACTAACAATGAACTATTTGAAAAAGAGATAGAAAACAATCCTGTTTACAATAGCTACAGAAAAAATACATAGAAATAAATTTAAACAAGAAGGTGAAAACCTATCTACACTGTGAAACATTGATAAAATACATTAAAGAAGAAACAAATAAATGGAAAGATTTCCTGTGTTTAATGGATTGTAATAATTACTATTATTAAAATGTCCATGCTACCCAAAGATATGGACAGAAAAACTTCAAGGACATTTTTCACAGAAATAGAAAAAAGCATTCCAAAATTTGTAGGAAACCAGAAAAGACCCTGAATGGTCAAAGTTATGTGAAGCAAAAATAACAAAGCAGAAGGTGTTACACTACCCGATTTCAAAATCTACTACAAAGCTATATTAATTTAAACAGCATAGTACTAGTGTAAAAACAGGCACA